TCTGACTTTTACAAAACAATCATTTAATTACAAAAAAATGTTTATTAATTTTTTTTAATAAAAACTGGAAAATAATATTTATTTTGTCTCTTTTAAACAAAATAAATTTATTCAAACAAAATGGAAATTGTTTTGTTTAATTCCATTCAATGGATGTTTTACTGATATTAGTCCTATCCCTTTCATTACAGCCATGAATTTATTTCTTATTATTACAATTTTTTAAAAATAATTATCCAAAAATAAGACCTGTATTTCTCATTATATGTATAATTACATTTAAAGATTGCCTAGATTAAAAATGTTTTCCTTTGTGTAGTGAAACCTTGCAATATTGTCCGCTTCCTGCTATTAGTCCGACCACATGTACAATCATGGCGGTAGAAATAACAACATGACATGGATTCCTTCGATGTTTTAAACATTCATCACTACTTTTATGCTCATTGCTCTTGGATTTGGAAATAAAATATAAGTATTTTTTGTCAGAATCTAATACCCAAATGACATTGACTGATTGAATCTGCAGTAGCGGAAAGTATTTTAAAAAACAATTGGATCTGAATGGGAGAATACTATACGACTGGCCTTTACATAGAGAAAATAATCGGCCATTATGTCTGCTCAATGTAAAACTCATAGGCCATTTTGGCAGATTAATTTGATTTTTTCCGGCCATTTTGAATTTTTATCGGCAAATGGCCGATGCCAATCTGAAACCCTGGCCCTTCATTTGAACTAACTTGATTCCCCTTCACCCAAGGATACTTTGTGCCAAGTTTGGTTAAAATTGGCCCAGTGGTTCTTGAGAAGAAAATGAAAATGTGAAAAGCTTATGACGACGACAACGATGATGACAACAACAATGACTACGACAATGATAGGCAACAGACAAATTTTGATCAGATACATGTAAGCTCACTTGAGCCTTCGGCTCAGGTAAGCTAAAAAGTTAATGCACACCGCACGACGCACGCCTCAGAAGAGCTTATAAATATCTGAGAAAATTAATTACCTCTATGAGGAGTAATCCCTGGAAATGGCCAAAGAAAAATCCCTTGCACAGTCTGGTTGATTTCCAGGGAAATGGAAGCCTGACCCTCTTTGTTGAGTTTTTGTCATCAGTCTTCTCGGGTGAAGTTATGTCCAACCGAATGCACTCCGTCAAGTTCTTTTTAGATGTTGGGGCAATGACTCGTCTAGATAACTTAAGATGTTCCACAGCCTTCTTTCTTCTTTCCAGTTTCTGAGGGAAAAAGTGCATAGTTGAATACAGACTTTTTAAAAACATATCTACATACAAGTATCAATGATAATGAACTATGTGGCCTTAGTTTTGTAAAAATTCTGATTGACACAAAATATCAAAAATTTCAAAGAATATTGAATTCCTCTACAAACCTGCTACACATGATGAAAGAAGACTATTAATTAACAAATATCTTTGATATGTAGGCCGATTAGTTTAAAAATAAATCCCAAAAGATCATTTTTTCATATAGTTTTTAGCAAATTAGACTTACTGAACGCTTTTTTTTGCTTTGTTTTGACTGCTGTCTGTGAAGATCAGTCTTTCCATTCTCCTGTCTCCGTTTCTCCTGTTTGTCATTAGTAATGACATTGGTGAATGCCTCTAAAGTATATAAAAACTCAAATATTACAAACTGAACACACTCACACACACACAAAAACAAGAGGCCCAGGGGCTAAAGCACTGACCTGAGCACATCAGCTAGGAAAAACACATATCAGATCAGAACTTAAAGTTAACTTAAGTTGGGGGGGGGGGTGGGGGGCTTGAATTTTAACCCCAAAGGGGATCATAATTTGAATGAACTAGAATCTACATAACCTCAGGATGTTTCCATACAAATATTACTTATCCTGGCTTTTAAGTGCTTGAAAAGAAGATTTAAAAGGTTTCCCTATATATTTCTATGTAAGAAGCAAAATTCAAACTTGATCTGTAACTCATCAAGATACACTTACATACCAAAATTCAGCTCAATATCTGCAAGCGTTTAGAAAAAAAGTGCTGAAAACCAAGTTGTACAGACTGATGGGGACAGACAGACGAACGTACACAGAGGATACCTATAGTCCCCCCGGTTTCACCTGTAGGGGACATAAAAGGGAAGGAGGTTGTTGGGCATGATAGGTATAGCAAGAGGGGGAATCTGGTAAAGGTCTGCATCTGCCAAGTTACTCAGGTGAGCAATGTGGAACATGGGCCTCTTCTTTGATATGTTTCTGTCTTAAACAAATTCACTTAAAACTGATAAATCACGGGGTATAGCTTAACATGCAATATTGAAAGTGGATGCATCTTCTTTAGGCAACAAGAGTGGCCAATGTACCCTTTCTTAAAACATGCATTGTTTGTAAAATTTTCAATTTGTCAACTTTGATGTTTTTTGTTAATGAAAAATATATTTACAAACTTATCAAAATAAATATAAGTAGGGTAATGTATGTGCCTCATTTCACAGGAAAATGTTCAAAAAGACATAGAACTATTTGTAAGCAGAAATCTCAAACCTAAGGGCTAAGGGCAGATCACTCTAACTGCATAAAACTTCCCTGTAAGTAGAGCTCTTTAGAGTGCAGTGTTTAGAGTTTCCTTAAAGTCAACAAAATACTGACCAGCAAGATTCAGTAAATATGCATTTAATTTTCCTATTTTCATTGATCTCAAAGTTCTTTCCTGTTCAATTCAGGTTGGAGTTAAACAAAGTTTGACTGTATGTATCAGATAACTGATGTATGTCAATCAAAACAATACACATATATCATTGAGGGGGCATATGGATTCAGCCCTAGCTTTTAAAAAAATCTTGTTGTAGCTCACAGCTGGTAAATCAAAATTCAGTATTTCAATTCATTTTTTTTTATTAAATTTTGAATAATTTTTTTTCTTTTCGTGCAATTGTTATACATTCCAATTCATTATTGAATTAACTTCCACTTACCAAATGATCACATCCTGATTCATCATACATTTCATCTAATTTAATCTCACCGGTTTTCTTTTAAAGCCAGTTTTCTTCTCTCTGAAAAGATAAATTATGTTCAATTACTATTGCATTCTAATTTAAACTAATTATGTAATTTAGCATCAGGCATCAGCAACTACCAGGATCATGGATGGGAGAAAAATCTTAATAAACAAAATTTCAAACATATGAGCATCGACTTGTTTGTACCATTCTACTTCTCTAATCATGCTAATGTTGTGGGCCACAATCAATATTTATTCATTATTACCTAACCTATTGTATAATTTGTTATAGGCATTTTCAACTGTTTCACGTTTATTTAATGTTTTTTCGTGATTATGAAACAGTCGAACTGTTGGCCAGGTCACAGAATGAACTGTTGCCTGGTCAAAGCATCACCGTGATATTCAAGATTTTTGATGATCACAACATCACTATTTACCTGCTTTATAATTAATTAAATTGAAATAATTTAATTTCACTTGTATCAAGCAATTTCATTGGCTGAATCATTCAAAGGAACATATAATATTTTGTATGGCATAACTTGCCTACGTCACAATGAGTTACGTCAAAAACGTATAACTCTGCTTAACGTTACTTTTAAATTCTACCACGGTTATTGGAAACTTCAAAGGAAGCCGCCGGACATTATTCTCCAATAAATCATGAACGTCATCAAAAAATTATCAGATCAGAAACACGTATCAAATCTGAACAATTCAAATGCATGTTTGGCTGTAGAATGAAATACTTGTTTAGACCGCATCAATGTGTTGTCTTTTGCAGTAAATACACTGTAAATTGCATCAAGTTGCTGAAAAATGTCGGACTTTATAGCTAAGCGGGGCTATTCCACGGACCTCCCTTCACATTAAACAATGTGATTTTAGCAGTAAAACAAGAACATGATTTTGTTTTTGTATATTCATTGTAACTGATCAATACATATTACGAACAAATTTGTAATTTATAAAGACTATTTTTAATGCAACGAAAGCTCAAATCGTCTGCATTCCATATATATAGGTAAGTCAACAAAATTTCTCTCTGGTGTTAAATAGAACAGCATAATCGAAACATGGTGACCTAATTCGTTTCTCTATAGAGGAAACAATCAGCCGTATTTATCACCTTTGGTAGAATAGAAATAAAGTCCTTGTTGTCGTGAATAGTGCAGAATAACCTCCTCAGTCTCGAAATGTTGTTTGAAATATAAAACCCTCGGCTAACGCCTCGGCTTTTGTCTTTCAAACAAAATTTCTAGATCTCGGAGGTTATTCATTTCTTAAATAATGCTCAATTTGACACCTTTTTCTGGAAGAAATATTGTCTAATTGTCTACACTGAAATTAAACTATATGGAATGAATAATTACAGTTTATAAATCGTAAACCAAGTTATGTTATATCAGATAACATAAGTTGAAATTAGCTTCATTCCCCAAATAAAACACACAAACAATCAATCAATCAATTTTTTTAAGGTCAGCCGACACATTCCTCAAAAATATATATAATTTTTCCTAAGAATTTGTCATTGAAGTCTAGGTACTTAAACAAGCTTCCTCACAAAAAATTAGGATACCTTACCAGGCATTTGGCTAAGAGAGCATAGGGTAATATTTCTTATATAGCCCTTATGGGTAATCTTCTAAATGGCCTTTAACACAATTTTTTGTGTAATTATATTTAAAAACAATTTGAAAACAATGTAGAAATCAGAAGAGAATGACAAATATGAATAATTTTTGATATAATAACAGAGATACAAAACATATATTTGAGGAACGTGTTGTCTGACCTTAAGAATTACTTTGAATTATCTACATGTAATATTAATTTTATCTTTATATTATGTGTTCAGCTAATTCATACACAAGTATGTGATTAAACAGTTCTTAAAACCCTTTATTGATTGTCTGCGTGTTTTTATTCCAATTTAATTAATCATTACAGTAAGTTAGGTAATAAAACACTTTTTCAATGACTACTCAGTAAAATAATCAAACTGTTGTTCTTCTGTAGTGGGAAAGACCTGGGAAACTGTTGCTCTCGGCCTTCAGCCTCAGGCAACATTTTTCAAGGTCTACCTCAGGACAACAGTTTGACTGTTAACCTCATAGTCATAAAATAAGTGTATACTACTGTACATTGGGAAATATTCACGATGGTTTTAATTTCGCTATGTTCGCGATTTATTAATTTTCCGCGAAAATAAACCCATCGTGAATTTTATTATTAGTTTTTAAAGCATATAAATGCTTATACAATATTTTAAATTAATTTCTTGCAGCGTGAAATTAAAACCATCGCAATTGGTACTTTTTGAGATAACGTGAAATTTTAACACCGTGGAATTAAAACGATTTACAGTATTTCATTGTTCATACAAGTCTTTTTCACAAAATATTTATTGGCTGATACTGATGCAATAGCTTACCATGCTTACCAGCAAAATATGATATTGCTCAGCTCATTGTTTGCCTGCAGTTAACCACAGTTATGTAGAATGTGGCGTCTGTTATAATTCATATATTATGCAGATATAAGAAGCATTTTTTTTGGGTAATTTTGATCTAATGACAGCCAAGTCTGTTCAGTTCGAACATCTTCAGAATATTAACTTTGAGTGATTATATAACAATACAATTATAACTAGCACAGCAAGCTCTAACGACAAAGCCTGAGCGAAAAGAAAATTTGGACTATATTGCACATTCATTCCATAAAATTTTTTACACAGTAATTTTGACCCACAATTCATCGCTTCGTAAACAAACGCTAAAGCAATGTTCTGGTTAGAATAAAAACAAAAGTTAACTAAATAATAAACTTGTACTGATTGAAATAATAGCCCCGTACAGGCTTTGTTTGATAAAGCAACATACAAAAGACGCACCAAATGTGCAGTTTGGCAAGTCTGAACTAAATGAAAACTGGACGTCAATTATCTGTGCTCACCCTAAAAGTCATACTATCAACATATTAGCCAAAATGTGGTTTATATAAGGACCCATGTCAATTGATATTGAGCTCAGAGAGAAAAAATGAACAAGACCTCTCACATAGTTCATATTTTCTTTCACTGTGGTTCAGTATCACTTCACATAGGTCCTTATAACTTCATGTTGGCCTACACATGTCAATAATTGAGAAATAACTGATAATTCAATCTGGCCTGGGGGCCATAAAACTTAGACGAGCTCACTTTTGATCTCAGTCTCACTTTTCCACTATATATTAATTCCTTTGGAAAAAGTGAGACTGAGATCAAAAGTGAGCTTGTCTAAGTTTTATGGCCCCCAGGCCTGATGATTCATTTGCATTACTTAAAATTAATTCACTATGTAGACTTTTCTTTTTTAACATCTTCTGTAATCATCTCAGAAGGTCTGACATTAGAAATTTTTTTTTTGAACAGTAATTTAAAGTTTTTTCAATATTAAACATTTATTGACTGAGTTTGAGGCAACATGCGTTTTGTCGAACCCAAGAACTAAACTGTCTGCCTGAGGCCGTTAAGCCGAAGGCAGACAGTTTGGTTCGAGGGTCCGACAAAATGCATTTCGCCTGAGAACTCTGTCAATAAATGTTTTGGTATACCTTTCATTTCTTTTAAATATTTTTTGACATAGTCATGTATAATTTGTACTATATTCCCTAATGTAACATGAGATCTGTCACTGTTTAACACCTACGAATGAAAATGAGATTAAGCTCCGCCCATTCTGTGACGTACGTAAACGTAAACATCTCTCCGAGCGGTCCAACATCTCACTCAGCAGTCCAACATCGATTTTCTATGCGCCGCTCAGCAAAACATTAAAAATGTTAGACTTTTTCTGTATAGTTTTAAATAGGAACAAATTTTTTAAGGTATAACAAACAAAGTTATTCTCTTCAGATAAGTGGACGGGCTTTCGCCTACATCTACTTTCTAAATGTATGTTTTCTTACATATCAAAGATTCATTCTCATGCATATGATTAACGGTTATGCTAAGCTACAATATAGAACTGTTCTGATCTGTCATGAATAATCGGATAGCTGAGATTGAAGACACTTTTCGTAAAATATTGATGGTTTTTCAGAATTTTGAAACAAAAATTGCTCATCTATACCTTGTCATGATTCTTTAGTTCCAAAACATGCGGTCAATACCGTGAATACGGGCAGAAAGTTTATAAATCGACTATATTTAGTGTTTATCGAACCCGATGTAAAAACACCCATTAACTATGAAAAATGGCCCCAAAACTAGGAATTGTGCCACTTAGGAGAGCCCGGTGTACCAGTGAAAACTGTCGCTAGTGCTCAGTGTCGCTCTAAAAAAAAGCGGTAGCCTAGCAATTCGGCACTTGTATGATTAGACCCAGAGAAAGTTGTAATCGCCTTATAAAGACGCAATTAGTGTTTTAAATGAAGTAAAATCGAAGTAATAAAGTTCCAAGACTATTAAAGAATTCTGTTTTTTTTTTAATATTTTCAGAAAAATCTTAAAAAATAAGTGTTTGACATTCGACGCTATTGCATCGCGATCGGCATCTGATCTGGGCTTTCATATGATACTTCATCTCTAAAATTACATAACAAGAAGGGCAATATATGACTAATTGAATTAGATACTTATGATTTGACCGAAAAAAAAAATATTTGGGAAAAGAAAGCGACAGCAGAAGTGTACTGTAAACTGTTTAATGTTTTTAAACATCGAGATCGGCATCCAACTTAATCAGCTGTTTGCACTCTAGAGAAAAAAAATATGATCAGTAAACTCGCAATCAAAACCGATCTATTGTAAGTAAGACAGTATTTTAACAAGATAAAATAAAAATAATTATCGTTTGTTTTTGCCGATAAATGTAATGTAAGACACAAGTAAGGTTAAATTATGGACTCGTCACTTGCAACCAGTATAGAATACTTCAAATAAAGTTGCGACGCGAATTTCCTTTATTTATTGCGGTTATAATGTGTCTATAATGCTTAAAAGTTTTTTTTCTTGTACACAAAGACTAATGTGGATTTTCCCTATGAATGTTTAGGTGTTAACATTCTCTGTCATAAATTTAAACAATATTTATTCAGTAAACTGAATAGATTGGGCAACAGGCTTAAGCCTATTATAAATACCCTCTCTATATAACAGGTCAAGGTAACAATACAATGAACACAGTAAATAATTACAATTCATATTACGATATGAGTGCTCACATACGCATTCAAACACACTCACACACACACCCTCACTCACACACGCAACCACACCCTGACTCGCACAGATCCAGATCAAAATAAGTATAATAAATATAAACATGTATAAGTGACAAGAGTGCATATTAAAAATGAAAATATGATTAAAAACGTTTTGTTGACTTGATATATTCATGAACATTTTTTATGATATTGAGGTTCGTATGGAACGAATACTCTGAACTCCCTTGTAAAAGAATTTTTAGATCATAAGGTACATCAAGCTCATTTAAGTTTTTTCTTACTTTATTTCTTTGAATACTATATGCTGGACAATCCATAAAAAAGTGTTCATGATCTTCTACATGGTAATTACACTTCGGACAAGATGCATTGTCATAAATTGAAAACTGAGCAGTTTTCAATCAATTTTCATCATACATATAGTTTTTGGTTAGATGAGTTCTGTTCACATTGATTCATTATATGTTCAATGATGATCCATGATAGGTGACATTCAGTAAGATGCGATGATTTTAACCAAAGGGACTTAATTATGATAAAAATAGTAATGTCTATTACATGACTGATTTACAAAGTCATGTATATCATGACTGATTTACAAAAAAAGCATAAAATTGTGAAATTTTCTGATTGGTGAACTCATATATTTTAAAATAATTTGCTTTAAGGTAGGATTCTTCTCATATTTCTAATATTTAAAAATTCATGAAATTTTCACAGAATCAAGAAGACAATATCAGTAAGTGATAGTATCAGTGAAATTATATTTGACCGTTTTATATTAGAGGCAATGTCAGGTCAAGGTCATTATCTTTTTCCTTCACATTTAGAATTTAAAAAAATACTGTTGCCAATCATGTAATACCTACTTCTTTTTCAAAAGTTTAATGATTGTTCTATTTGCATAAAACATATTACTATATCGGGTCTATAGCATGATCTTACCAAATTTACATAAATAATTTTACTTAACTGGATATTGTCTAATCCGAATTTTCTCTGGTTTTCTTAATTTTTTAGGATATATAAGTTTTTTTCATATGCTTCCTATATTTAACTTTTTCCGGATAACTTCGGAGCAAGGGCGCCTCTAACAGTTTCAAGGGTAAAAAAGGACCCAATATTGACACTGTTTCTAGGGGCTAGGGCGCAAAATTTACCCCTATAATATGATACTTTACAGATACTAAAGGTCTAGAGAAAGTGCCAAGCGCCCAAATTAGGAATTGTGCCACCTAGGTGAGCCAAAAACACTATGGCGCAAGAGCGCCTCGTACGATTTTAACTGTCTAAAAGGACCCAATTGACACCGTTTCTAGGCACCAGGGCGCAAAGTTTACCCCTATAATGTGATATAATACATACAGATACTTAGTATCGATCTAGAGAAAGCACTTAGCACCCAAACTCTTAGGGAAGTCCGGCACACTATGGTACTAGATCGCCTCTACATGTAACTGTTTCAGGTGTCTAAAAAAACCAATTGACACTGTTCCTAGGCGCCAGGGCGTAAAGATTACCCCTATCACGTTATATTATACAGATATTATACCGGTTTAGAGAAAGCGCCCAGCGCCTATTAACTAGGAAATTTGCCATCCAGGGGAGCCAAAAACACTGTGTTGCAAGGGCGCCTATAACAGTTTCGAGTGTCAAAAAGGACCTTATTTACACGGTTTCTAGGCGCAAAGTTTACCCCTATGGTTTGATTCTATAGACTCCGAGATATACTATACCGATCTAGAGAAATTTAAGCACCCAGCGCCAAAACTAGGAATTATGCCACTGTTACAACACACTTTGAAAATTTACGCACTTTAATTTGAAAAAAAAAATTTCAAAGTGCGTTAAAAGAACTATATGCGGTATATTGCATATATTTGCCCCCACAAAAGTCAAATTTTGAAAACTTCCTGAAATGTGCTGAATTCAATAAATTGTTTGAGAAATATAAGTATAGAGTATATTAATTGCTCATTTCGGCAAAAACAAAAAAAAAAAAAGAAAAAAAATAGTAGACTCTATCAAGCATCAGAGACGCATTCAACCCTTCCCCTTCTTTTTTCACTTGTCAGTTTTCCGACGCCTAGAGACTTTTTGTGTACCACCCCCATTAACAAAAAGGGGGGGGGGGAGAAAAAAGGGAAAAAAGATACGGACGTATATCATATTTCGTAACTGAAATTGAATGTTGGATTGTAGATGGTATTGATTTATAGTATGTTAAATTTTACTTGTAATTAAAAGGGGAAAAATTGCATTGGATTTTATATAAAAATACGTCTAGAATCACCGTAGGAACTCCTATTTTTTATAGACCAACCTCTTAAAATACCATAGATGGAACAATTACATGTTTGTTTAAAGGACAATACTTATTTACCATCTACTGTTAATTAACTTAAAACAAGGTGTTAAAAAATGAAGTTATCGGATTAAAGTTTACAGAAAATAGAGAACCCAATTTCCTGATTATCGCATTATTTCCTGGTTGAA